ATAAAATGTGTAACTTAAAAGTCTGATCTTCAATTTAGTTATGGTTCTTTTTCATACCTTTTTAATCGACTGGCATCTCGAAATCAACTGGAGCTCAATGTAACGTCACGGGGGACCCTCTTGGTATCCTACGACTGGTGTATCCTACGAGTGGTGTATCCTACGACTGGTGCATCCTACGACTGGTGTATCCTACGACTGGTGCATCCACGGACTGGATTTATTTAGAGCATACGTCTCTTACACTACGAGTGTCACATTCAGGTCCGTGTCGAGAAGTCTGACAATGCCACCCCCAATTATTTAGAAAAAGTGCCGCCCCCTGGGGCGGACCCCTTAAAATGACGATTCTAGCAGCCCGTCGTCTTGATGAAGTACATGGGATTGTATCGTTAGATTCACCGTTACGATCATAACTAAAGACGATTTTGATTTTGGCGCCCCTTGATGTTGGTGCCAGGGTGGAGGGGGTGCCCCCCTTCGCTTGGCCCTGGTCACGATCCTTAACAGGAATAAAGGAACTTACAGCTTACTTAGGCGACTAATAAACAGAAGTCCTGACTCAAATAGTTTTTAATGTGGTACTGTCACTGGATATGTTCAGTAATTATAAGAGGGTTGGGGTGCGAAAAAGCTTTTAAGAAGATTCATAAGACACACAAAATTGGTGAAAATTTATAAAAATATATATTATGTTAAGCTTTAAGAATCATTTCCATTGGTGCCAGGCCGGGTTTTGTTCAAAAGTAAAAACATGGCAAGAGAAACAAAGAAAACTATTTACAAAACTGTGATCAGACCAGTTGTAACATGTGCAAGGGAAACCTGGGCCCGAACAAAAACAGCAGAAAACCTAATCAGCACATGGGAGAGGAAAGTTCTCAGGAAAATATGTGGACCAACAAAGGATGAATATGGATGGAGAATACGAACCAAAAGGATGAATATGGATGGAGAATACGAACCAAAAGGATGAATATGGATGGAGAATACGAACCAAAAGGATGAATATGGATGGAGACTACGAACCAAAAGGATGAATATGGATGGAGAATACGAACCAAAAGGATGAATATGGATGGAGAATACGAACCAAAAGGATGAATATGGATGGAGACTACGAACCAAAAGGATGAATATGGATGGAGAATACGAACCAAAAGGATGAATATGGATGGAGAATACGAACCAAAAGGATGAATATGGATGGAGAATACGAACCAAAAGGATGAATATGGATGGAGAATACGATTAAAAGGATGAATATGGATGGAGACTACGAACCAAAAGGATGAATATGGATGGAGAATACGAACCAAAAGGATGAATATGGATGGAGAATACGATCAAAAGGATGAATATGGATGGAGAATACGATTAAAAGGATGAATATGGATGGAGAATACGAACCAAAAGGATGAATATGGATGGAGAATAGGAGCCAACCAGGAATTGTATAATCTAGATCAGGATCCCTTACTAGTAGTAGTAATAAAAAAGGGAAGGCCACGCTGTGCAGGACACTTAGAGAGAATGTCAAATGAAAGAGGAGTGAAGAGGGTTCATCACCAAAACCCCAGAGGAAAACGGCTCAAACGCAGACCCAGGCTTAGATGGATGGGTGATGGGGGAAAAGATTTACAGCAGCTGGGAATCCAAACATGGAAAAAAAAAGCATTGGTTAGGTCTGAGTGAAAGGAAGTGGTGAGGCGGGCCAAAGCCCTAGATGGGCTGTAGCGCAACAGGGTTGGATTAACAAATAGGTATCAGTAGGATATCTATATATGGCCTAGGTATCAGTAGGATATCTATATATGGCCTAGGTATCAGTAGGATATCTATATATGGCCTAGGTATCAGTAGGATATCTATATATGGCCTAGGTATCAGTAGGATATCTATATATGGCCTATGTATCAGTAGGATATCTATATATGGCCTAGGTATCAGTAGGATATCTATATATGGCCTAGGTATCAGTAGGATATCTATATATGGCCTAGGTATCAGTAGGATATATATATATGGCATAGGTATCAGTAGGATATCTATATATGGCCTAGGTATCAGTAGGATATCTAGATCTAGATCTATCTAAATCCAATTGATGCCTAAAAAATGAAAGATGAGAATGGGGACGAGACCCTCACGAAAACAATGATCAGAAGAACGGAAAGACGGTGTGTGCAAGTACAATGGAAAGACCAAACAGGTAAAAAAAAAAAGACATGGCAGCTCTGTCAAATTGTGAATGCAATAGAACACGGTCTGTTGAAGCTTGGATTAGAAGACGGGACAATAAGATGTGCACGTTTCGGCATAGCATCTTCTTCGGCGAACAGGACAAGTGGAAACTAGGACAAGATACCGAGCACAGTAAATAAAAAACATCAAATATTAGACTCTAAGAGATCACCTTTGTAGTTGTCTGGGTCAAATCTGAGTCTGTGTCAAATCTGAGTCATCAGTTTCAAAATTCTAACATTTTCTGAATTAAAGCATGTCTGCCCAAATTTGTCAAAACCGATTCTTTTTAAAAAAAATTGATTACTTAGATTTGACCCAGGAAGACAGACAGGCAGACAGAGAGGCAGACAGACGACAGACAGGCAGGCAGGCAGACAGACGCACAGAGGCAGACAGGTAGAAAGACAGGCATGCAGGCAGGCAGACAGACGGACGGACAGACAGACAGATCTGAATAGAAACCTAAAAAATGCAGGGGACACAACTGCGACTGAGCGAGCGTAGGGACAAACGGGTGCACATGGAAGACATCTCAAGACGGTGGGATGGCAAGATGATAAAACAAATGTGGTCTTGTCAAAAAAGAAACCCAATAGCAGGCATAGATTATCACGAGCATAGATTATCACGAGCATACCAACCATAGTTTAAATAGGGCTACCCTCAGATCATCCCGTTTTTACTCTATCCCGTTAAACAATTTGGGGACCCCTGCCCCCCCCCCCCCCACTCATCCTTGGACGTGCGGGGGCCTAGGGACAGTGGTATACGACACTGTAGAGAACAAACGCCCATAGAATGATGTTACCTACGACTGATGGCCTGACGGATGCCTTCGTAATAACCTGAGATCAACTCCACCGGTCAAAAAACCAAACCAAAAATACGCGCTAGCTCTACTATGACCTGGTTTACTTGTGGCGACCCACATTTTGCTGCGTTTGAAAACATTTAAGGTCGACACCAGAAGATACAGATGTTGAACTTATTGGACCGTGTACGTTAACCGCCGTAGCCTCCCCTAACCCCCCCTCCCTAACTTTTTTCCCCCCTTTAAGCCTTTTTTTCAAACAAGTCTAAATGGAGGGAGTATTGATTTGAAGGCTACATGTGCTAGACATGAAACACATCTGTGTTTGTTCAAATAGTCGTATGTTTCCGGTATTTAGATTGTACAATTGCGAGCAGTTTAATCATTTTGGTGTATACAAATGTCTTTATTTATTTTTCCCTGGTGTTGCCCCCCCCCTGATTTTGACGCCCAGGAGGGCTGCCCCCCCCTCCACACGGCCCCTGTCTGAGACTGTCTAAAATCTTTGCCAGTTACTTTGTCTTTTCAGCTACGCTGACCCAATCACAACACTGATTCACTGTCTGTCTGACACGCAGCTCGGGACAATGAACGTCCAGCATTTGTAACGTGACTTCATCGCTTTAGAACACGGCCACAGCTGAAACGGCTGTCAGACTACAATCGCGGCGAATGTTGGCACTGACGGAAACGAAGAACCCCTAACGCCAACCAAAGGGTTCTCCGGATGATCGACATCTTAAGCTCACAACATTGATTTTTCTTCGTCCGTTTTTTTTTTTTTTGGCCATTAACATTCTCTGGCAAGGGGGCCGGAGCCATTCTTGAACCCATCACCCCATCTCTCCATCTCCTTTCTTCCTAAAAACACAAGTCGCGTGCAAATAGCTTTAGCCGTCGTGAAGAAGTAAGAGAGACACGTTTAGGGAAATGCAGGAGAAAGCAGTTTTCTGAGATATGAATACATAGATCTATATTAATCGACCAGCGCCCCCCCCTTCCCCCGGGGCCACGACCCAATCCTAGCTCCACCTCGGCACGAACCCTTGGGGCAATGATCGCATACCTTAATAACAGTACCACGTTCACATCCCGCCGTGGTCCATGTGAGATATCATCCATTGGTTACTTTGCTTCACCCGTTCAGGTGCTTGCATACCCTTCGGTATGCTTCGATGAAATAACTATTGATCTAATCATTGGATTTCTCCGCTAATCCTGCAATAGTTTACCCTCTTTTAATAAAAAATAAAAAATGCTTACTTCATAAGAAACAATTAATTCATTAGTTATGACAGGTAGCATACAGCACCTTTGTCAAAGCCAAACTTTAAAGAAAAACCTCACAGAATGTAGAGAGATAACACTTAGCAAACATTACACAGGTGACACTTTGCAGTGAGTACTGTTTTTACAGTGAGTACTGTTTTTACAGTGAGTACTGTTTTTACAGTGAGTACTGTTTTTACAGTGAGTACTGTTTTTACAGTGAGTACTGTTTTTACAGTGAGTACTTTTTTTAGAGTGATCACAGTTTTACAGTGAGTACTATTTTTTTTATAGAGGCCTATTTTTACAGTGAGTACTATTTTTTTTATAAATTCCTATTTTTACAGTGAATACAATTTTTACACCAAGTACTGTTTTTACAGTAAGTACTCTTTTTACAGTGAGTACTGATTTTACAATGAGTACTGTTGAAAGTCAAACGTTACACCTGATGTACATAAGTCAACTTCCTATACCAGTACGCCCCCATTGACTCACCTGAAGGTGGCCCTCATACGCCCCCATTGACTCACCTGAAGGTGGCCCTCATACGCCCCCATTGACTCACCTGAAGGTGGCCCTCATACGCCCCCATTGACTCACCTGAAGGTGGCACTCATACGCCCCCATTGACTCACCTGAAGGTGGCCCTCATACGCCCCCATTGACTCACCTGAAGGTGGCCCTCATACGCTGCTAAATGTAAAGGCGTCCATCCAGAGTTGTCCCTATGCATCTCGTCCAGTCCCCTGTCCAACAGTTGCCGGACGACCGACTCAGACCCTTGGGCCGCAGCCACGCAAAGGACGGTCCTGCCCTCGAAGTCAATGTGATCCACGGCCGCGCCCCAGAACAGCAGCTGGCGGACCACCTGCGCGTGGCCCATGGACGTGGCCGCCCACAGCGGCGTTCTGTTCTTGCCGTCCACGTGGTCAGCGTCGGCGTCCCACTCTAGGAGCATATCGCAGACCCCCGGGTGCCCTTCGTAGGCGGCCACCAGAAGGGGCGTGCTGCCATCTTTGTCCGTATGATCGACTTCCGCCCCGCGCTCCAGAAGGAGGCTGACGACCTTTTCGTGACCTTCGCTGGCGGGAACACAAAGGCACGCGACGCTCAGAGCCGTGCGTCCGTCAACATCCTCATGGTCAATGTTGGCGCCGTGGTCCAGTAGATGCTCCACTATCTCTACGTGCCCCATGTAGGCGGCGGCAATCAGTGCCGTCCTGCCTTCGTGGTCCGTCTTGTTGACATCAGAGTTATGCTCTAGCAGCAGCTTGACAATGTCCTCATGGCCTCCCCAGCACGCCGCACGCAACGCTGTCCTTTGTTCAGAGTCGGCGTGGTCGACGTGGGCACCCTTGTCCAGCAGCAGCGACACGACCTTGGTATGGCCCGCCCAGGCCGCAGACCGCAAGGCCGTCCAACCTTCGTGGTCCGCGTGATCAACATTGACGCCCGCGTTGAGCAGCGCTGTCACGATAGCAGTATGGCCTTGGCGAGCGGCAAGGGTCACGGCCGTCTGTCCAGACCTGTCCTGCACTTCCAGGGCAGCTCCTCTGGCGATTAATGTCTGAACCTGTTGAAGGTCCCCCCTGTAGGATGCGGTGTGCAGCTGCGTCCTGCCGTTGGCATCCATCTGGTCCAAATCCATATTGTCACTCACTGTAGTGGAGTTCTCCTTGGCCTCGACCAGCGAGTCAGTGCTAGTTGCCCCGCCCTCCATCGATGGTGACTTCGCCCCAGCCTCAGTTAAAAGCCTCACCACCTTGGGTTCTTTAGGCAGCCCAGCGAGTAAGCATTTCTCAACCTTTGCCCCGGAAACCAGCAACATCTGCACCAGGTGCTCGAAACGGATCTGCTCTGCGAAGTTCGCCCTCACCAGATGAAGCGCCAGATCCTGCACGCCCAGGGCATCGAGCTCATGGGCGTGCTGCAACTGTCTCAGCGCTATCATGGCGTGCCCTTCGCTGGCATTGCACAAATATTTCTGGGTGCAGTGCTTCACGTCTAAAAGCCATTCGGCGAAACTGTGATGAAAAACAATCTGCTCCCCTTTAAAACCGTTAAACAGTATACGAGACATCAACTTGAGTCTTCTTTCGAAATCCTCTCGCTTTAAGTCCGTCTCTTTAACTAACATGCTCTCGTAGAGTTCTTCCGCGTTCATCGGAATCCTGGAGGCTAGAAGAACGTTGAGCAGCGGTTGTATTTTGACAACGTGTTTCTTGACGAACAGCCTCTGGCACAACCATAAGTACAGACCGTTCAGTGTACCGGGGATTTCTCGAACTTCCCTGAGCATGATGAAAGACTCGGCCACGCCGTCCAGCACCTTCTCCAGGTACAAGAAGCAGCCGTTACTCTTGATGTGTAGCTGGTTGAGCATCTCCGCGGTGTCCCTGCTCAAATGTTGCCTCAGCCCGTCCTCGGCGTCCAGCCGGCACAGGATGTACTGCTGCACGTCTCGGACCACGTGAGATTTCCGCAGGTCGTCCAGGCTCAGCTTCCGGAAGCCGGTGAACATCCGGGTGACGACCTTGCTCTGCTTCCTAGCCGAGCAGACGAGGAGGAGCCACGGCGGGAAGCTGGCGTTGTGCTCGGCGAGCAGCTCCGCGATCGTCTGGCTGCACGTGGCCCTCTCGTTGACCGGATGGAGATAGGATTCATCGATGGAGTCGACCCAGAGCATCAGCGTTTGCTCCGGGGGCTCACAGGAGTGGAGGGGTTCCAGAAAGGCGATCTTGAAAGCTTCATCGGCGTTGGCCTCGCACTCGACGGGGTCAAGGACGTGCTGGACTACAGAAGAGGCCACCTGCGACTTGAAATCCTTGATGAGACCCGACGCCGATACCTGAGAGACTAAATTCTGTATGAAAGTGACGATGGACAGCGAGTTGGCGTCGTGGGCCTGACAGAAATGGTACGCCAACATCCGCGAGCGTAGAGGAGCTTGTTTTCCCTGAGGGGATGTGGGCCACACGAGCTCACACCCCAGAGCTGTCTTGCCGCTGCCGGGCCCGCCCATGACCAAGGTCCCACATGTTTTCGACGTGGATCTGGTGTCGAGGCAGTGCAACAGTTTAATGAAAGCCCACTCGCGGCAGAAGAACCGTTTCCCTTTCAGTAAGCACTCGGTCATCTTGTCGACTAAATGGTTACTACCCCAATAAGTGCGAGGAGAGACAGACACCCAAGTAGAGACGCCCAAGTAGAGACGCCCAGGTTACATTAAATGTGCACTCTTTGGGTTAAGTCCTTTCATTGTTCATTTCGCGGTGATCACACAAATAAATGCTTTAAATTTGTCTTATACATTGTACAGTGGTTGACACAGTGGCTGGCACAGTGGCTGACACAGTGGTTGAGACACTTGTTGACGTGCAGTAGTTTGTGCTTGGCTTTCTAAACCCATCCAGTGTGTTATAACGTTCTTATACATGTTGTTCCATTAGTTTGGAAAATCTGTTTGGATTGATGGCATTTTTACACCATTAAAACTGTCTGCCATTCTTGTTCCAAAATTTCTTAAGTCATGTTTCTAAGTCACATTACTTGACTTTCATAAAAATACTTCCAAGATGTCCATCCGGTGAGCACTTTTATTGTGAAGATTCCGTGAGTACTTTCAATGAGATCATCCAGTGAGTACTTTCAACGAGAACATCCAGTGAGTACTTTCAACGAGAACATCCAGTGAGTACTTTCAATGAGAACATCCAGTACTTTCAAAGAAAGAATCCAGTGAGTACTTTCAATGAGAACATCCAGTGAGTACTTTCAATGAGAACATCCAGTGAGTACTTTCAATGAGAACATCCAGTGAGTACTTTCAATGAGAACATCCAGTTAGAACTTCAATGAGAACATCCAGTGAGTACTGTCAATGAGATCATCCAGTTAGTACTTCAATAAGAACATCCAGTGAGTACTTTCAAAGAAAGAATCCAGTGAGTACTTTCAATGAGAACATCCAGTGAGTACTTTCAATGAGAACATCCAGTGAGTACTTTCAAAGAAAGAATCCAGTGAGTACTTTCAATGAGAACATCCAGTGAGTACTTTCAATGAGAACATCCAGTGAGTACTTCAATAAGAACATCCAGTGAGTACTGTCAATGAGAACATCCAGTTAGTACTTCAATAAGAACATCCAGTGAGTACTTTCAAAGAAAGAATCCAGTGAGTACTTTCAATGAGAACATCCAGTGAGTATGTTCAATGAGAACATCCAGTGAGTACTGTCAATGAGAACATCCAGTAAATATCTGTTGAAAATATCATCAAAAAGTAAACCAGTTATGGCCATATCACAATAACTCCCATCACACAGACATACAAAAAATACAATAGAAAAGCAATTGTATCCTAAGGTGCAAACAATGACAGTTGGAGAGAGAGACCCGCACTGATCTGAGAAGCGGACGACACTCATTCCCACACGTGACGTTTAAGGTCAGGGACGGGGGGGGGTAGAAATAACGACAGGTGCGACCAGGCAGTGACCGGAACTCGAACCCGCTAAACGGAACAACAGGTCATTATTGTGGTCTGTCCAGTTGCCAGGCCGACAAGCGACTGGGAGACCTGGATGCTGGCAATCTGCTGGACTTTGGACTTTATTGTTGAATCTTTTTTTAAATAATTTTTTTTAGGGGGGGGGGGGGGGAGAGAGAGAGGGAGAGAGAGAGAGAGGGGTTCGGAGATATTGACCACTGACCTTGGAACAATCAGACTTACCGACAAGCGACTGGGAGACCTGGATGCTGGCAATCTGCTGGACTTTGGACTTTATTGTTGAATCTTTTTTTAAATAATTTTTTTAAGGGGGGGGGGAGGAGAGAGAGAGGGAGAGAGAGAGAGAGGGGTTCTGAGATATTGACCACTGACCTTGGAACAATCAGACTTATCTATTTGACAGGGGGAGATAAAACGGTGCTTTAGTTTGTAAAACTTGAGCTATGCCCTCGCTTAATCTTCTTGAAAACTCTTTTAATAAGGCCGGATCTTTGTTCTCAATTAAAAAGGACCCTAATCACACACAACAATCCTCTGACGTATGTATGTGTGCCGGTAGCGGTGCTACAATAGGCGAGCCAACTAAAATGCCCAGAAGTTAGCGCCAAGGCCAAGGGTGACGACTCATTGGGATTCTTATCAAGTGCGTTACCTGAAGGCAAGTGTTGTCAAGTCACGGTCAAGTAGCTGGGAAGTTCGCCCATCGCCGCTGACATTATTGGGCCTATTGTTTCTAGTGATCAATTAGTTTAGTCTTTAAAATAAACTGAACTCCATAACATGGGTTCTCATACTCTACAGATCGAAGCCGCTCGAAAATATGACCTAAATGGACCACACTTTGGTCTAGCCATGTGGATGTACACAAATGGACCACACTTTGGTCTAGTCATGTGGATGTACACAAATGGACCACACTTTGGTCTAGTCATGTGGATGTACACAAATGGACCACACTTTGGTCTAGTCATGTGGATGTACACAAATGGACCACACTTTGGTCTAGTCATGTGGATGTACACAAATGGACCACACTTTGGTCTAGTCATGTGGATGTACACAAATGGACCACACTTTGGTCTAGCCATGTGGATGTACACAAATGGACCACACTTTGGTCTAGTCATGTGGATGTACACAAATGGACCACACTTTGGTCTAGTCATGTTGGTGTACACACACACACACAAGGATGTTTAATGCCGCTAAAGCCTAAAGTGGTTTCCAAACTTATGGGGCGTCTCAAGTCCAGGGGCGTCAGGTTATTTTCAAGTGGGGTGGGGGGGCAGAACCAAAACTTGGTCGGCTTGTTAAGTGGTTTATTACTGGAGGCGCCACAGTACATGGCAAGTTTAATAAAATCTGAAAATTCAAGAGGTGGAGGCAAAATGACGCCCCAGCTAATGTCTCCCCACTGGGCGAGAAAAAAATTTAAGTGTTCGAGCGTATATTTGTCTGTGATGTTAAATGATTTTGAAGGCTATTAGAGTGATGTTAATAATCGTGGATGTAAGGTGACAACAAGAATAATTGTGTTCAAAATGGGGTGCGGTAAAACAAAGTTTGGGGCCCCCTGGAACTAAGGGCGCGTCTCGGTGTCAAGCGCACCTGGCGATAACGCCAGCAGGAGTCCACCAGCATGGGACCACGAGCAGGGGACCACGAGCAGGGTACCGCCAGCATGGGACCACGAACAGGGGACCACGACCATGGGACCACGAGCAGGGGGGCCACGAGCAGGGGACCGCCAGCAGTGATCCGTCAGCAGGAAATCAACTACAGGATTATGAGACATTTAATGAACTAAACCAGGCTTGCACAACTCAAAATGTAAGGCGGGCCGTAATACTAAGAATACTTTATAAACAACTTGTGAGGGCCAACAGAAATGGGACAAAGGGGAAACCTATTCAGAAAATAATAAGAATAAACAGTACTTCGTTACTTTGCGGGCCGCAAAGTGGGCGCTGGCGGGCCGTATGTTGTGCAGGCCTGTACTAAACTATTCTTCAATGCCTTAGGTCAGTGGTCGGCTAACTCATGAGTCAAAAGCGTCAGCAGCAGGACGATTAAAAAATTGTTGACCCGCCAAATGTCTTGTCAAGAACCCCGTTTTTTTCGGAGTCAAAACCGATTTGTGGCCGACTGGCCAAGCCGCACTCAGGTCGCTAGAGAGCCGACCACTGCCTTAGGTTTAGTTTATGACACTACTACAATCAACCTTATTTGCAAGAGACCAGCTACTCACATGACCTAAGCCTAAAACTAGGTAGATCAATTCTTCTTTTTTTTTTTAAATAGGATCCTTAATTTTAAATAAAAGCATCCATTAGTATCCATTAAATTTTGGTCTCGTATTTATTATGGTCTAATTTTGGTCTCGTATTTATTATGGTCTAATTTTGGTCTCGTATTTATTATGGTCTAATTTTGGTCTCGTATTTATTATAGTCTAATTTTGGTCTCGTATTTATTATGGTCTAATTTTGATCTCGTATTTATTATAGTATAATTTTGGTCTCGTATTTATTATGGTCTAATTTTGGTCTCGTATTTATTATAGTCTAATTTTGGTCTCGTATTTATTATGGTCTAATTTTGGTCAATAAACTAGTTATTTTGTCTGAAAGTTTCGTCAAATGAAATGTCCTAACGGCTACACGGCTACACTTAACAATACACAGCGTCAGTTGGGTGACACACACCATACAGTTTTGTTACACACTACACCCTCACACAGCTTTGTTACACACACCTTTACAGCTGTGTTACACATCTCACGCTCACACAGCTTTGATACACACAACACTGTCAACACAGCTTTGTTACACACAGTTGCTACACACAGCTTTTTAACACACACACACAGCTTTGATACACACAACACTGTCAACACAGCTTTGTTACACACAGTTGCTACACACAGCTTTTTAACACACACACACACAGCTTTGATACACACAACACGCAGCTTTGATAAACACAACTTCGATGCACACAACACACAGCTTTGATATACACAACACACAGCTTTGTTGCACGCTACAGCAAGTTTCAACGGACATCTGTTTACACACAACACGATAAAGATAAGACTTTGTCACCACGACCAATACACACGGCCTTATTTTGATACAGACACAATACACAGCTACGTCATGCACAATACCCATTATGTTATCATGTTACACACAATACCCACTCAAACTGTGTTATCATGCTACACACAATACCCACTGTGTTCTCATGTTACACACAATACCCACTGTGTTATCATGTTACACACAATCCACTTCAGTTGTTAATCCAAGCTTAGCGTACACACATCAATGTTGGGTAAGCCTCCATAAGACAATGCCCACCCGTCCGTCCCATGACACGACAACACCAGCACCGTCACCGTAGCCGTCACGCATGAACTACAACAAAAAGCCACCAGTAGACTCAGCAGCAGTCCCCGCAGACTGTAGACGTTCTGCTTCGGTTATCACTGTTCTCACATCTAGGCCGGGCAAACAGTGACATCATCACAACGGCATTGTAATCCTTTTAGAAAACAGCTCGAACGGTTCGCGTCTGCCTCAGAGCAGAAATATGAAATGTCCAGAAATCACGGGGCGACCC